ATACATACATACATATATACTTTGTGTACAGGAACATCTGTGCAGAGTATGGGCTGGGACCCCAAGATCAAAGTGGGAAACACCTCTAAAGATGGTAGAGGAAGACCGAGCCAGGATACTGTGGGACTTCAGATACAGACGGACCGAATGGTAATGGAAAACCAACCGGACATTGTGATGTTGGATAAAAAGCAGAGGAAAGCCGTTGTGGTTTACAAACCAATACCAAGTGACTGCAACATCAGGATAGCTGACTGTATCTACTCAAAGGCAATCCCTCACACTAAGCATACTTGCAGCGGCAGTGGAGAGGAAAAACTCCCTTTTAAAAGGAAGAAACCTCCAGCAGAACCAGGCTCAGTGTGAGCGGCCATCTGCCGAGGCCGACTGAGGTTCAAGGAGACAGAAGCAGAGATAAAAAAGGCAACTGTAAATGGCCGCCCCATCCAAAACACACAGCCAGGCAGACGAGCTGTCAGCTCCCATGTCAGAGGATAAAGAGAGAGCACATCCAACCAGTCACAGTCAGAGAAACAGGACTACACTGAAAAACAGGCTGACCTCGAACATCTACCCATATATCCTTATACCCATTAATATATATATATATATATATATATATATATATATATATATAAACATATATATACAAGTACTATTACAAACGTTATTGCCGTTGTAGTGTCGCATTGTAGGGTCTGGTGGCGGCAGGGATGAGTTACCTGGAGCGCTCCTTTTTACAAACGGGGTTTAAAGTCTTCCACTAAAGAAGCTGCTCAGCTCCTCTACACTCTGGTGCAGAGGGTGGAAAGTGTTGTCCATTCTGGATGTAAGCTTGGACAGCACCCTCCTCTCAGCCACTTGCTCCACTGAGTCCAGAGTGCAGCCTAGGACAGAAACAGTGTTTCTCACAAGTTTGTTCAGTCTTTTTCTGTCCCGCTCTGCGCTGCCAGGAGCCCAGCAGACAACAGTGAAGAGGAGGGCTGATGCCACCACAGAGTAGAAGGTTTTATGCAGGGGCCTGCTCACTCCTAAGGACCCTGGAGGTGGAGGCGGCTCTTGCACTTCTTATACAGGCCATCAGTGCTATGAGCCCAGTCCAGATTAGTTATAATGTTTAATCTTTTCTAATCTTTTTGCCTTTTCACCCTGGTACTGACACCCTTTTATTTCTCCACTGTGGGACAATAACATTTCTATTCTAATTCTATTTGATTGTATTATTAGCTGATTTTATGAGCCTTTTTGGGGTGGTTTAGCTCAATGCTGTTAACAATGTGTAAGGTGCTCATTACACATTTTTTATATTAATTATTATTATATTAATCTTTATATAAAATATAATTGATATATAAAAAAAATTGATATAAAATCAAAAGGTCAGCTGTCTCCTTCCCAAAATAGGGAAACATGACACAGGGACTTGTAATTACTGTAATCAGATGGAAACAGTGGAACATTTATTATCAGAATGTAATAAATATTCACAGGACCATCAGCACTTAAATTCAACACTAAATAGAGAAAAAAAATAAGATTTTCAATTAAAAACCTTTTGGGAAGTAAATCAAAATTCTGCTATAAATCAGTTAGTTAGATTAAAAAAAAAAACACTGGATTATTTAATCGTATTTAAAGTAAGAATATAAGTGTTTGTAAGCATGTGAATATACACACATACTAATTTATATGTATGGATATTGACTAATAGATTGGTATGTATTAATTATTTCCCTCTGACATCATTGATGACCGCTCTCCAGTCTGGTAGGTGGCGGTAAATGCACCTTAAGTTGGTTGACATCCGCCTATAAAAAATATCAGAAGAAGAAGACGTCTCCTTCCGGGTGAAGGTTGGCTGAACACGTGAGCATGCGCAGAGAATTCGGCGCGCGAAAGCTGCTCCAGGAAGTGAGAACAACTGAACGCTAACGGCTGCCAGTTTGGGATCTGAAGCTCTCACACAACTTCCACAATCTCTTAACATCTGCTTTATTATGGCAGACCCGAAGGTAAGATCGCACATTCTGGGTTAGTAAATAAATAACCTTTTAATTAAAACCGGAATTTTCTGATTGTAGGTTTATTTTGTGGCTGAAATTTGCCAAAATTAGAAAAAGAAAAGGAAAATCCGACAACAAATCAGTTTTACTCTAATAAATGCGTTAGAGTGGATTTTTACGTCGTGAAACATATCGCGGATTTATTTATATTATTGAAGAATTCTCAAAAAATTCTGTTCGACACATTTTGATTAGTGATTTTCCTCAACACGTCGCTTGGAGTTGAGGTTTACGAGCTCCGACAAGTCCTGTGAAGTGTGCATCAGTTGGCACGTTAGCCTCTTTTAAATATTCTATAGCAAAATATTATTATAGCTACAGTTTACTGTAGTATGAACATCGTTAAATAAATTGCACATTTGCACAAAAACAACGAGCTCAGTAAGGTTATTTATGTTTGTGTGTTATTTATCCTAGTGTGATGCGAGCTGCTGTTATGTTGCTAATGTTAGCTTTAATAGTAGAGCGCTAAAGAGAAAAACTGTTTTATAGTTGTATTTTTTCATAACTTTATACAGCGGGCACAGTTAGCATACTGTTGGCTTTTTTATATCTTAAATTACCGCATGCCATACAGTTATTAAGGGTTTAAGCAGCGATAAGTGATGACAGCTAGCTGTTAGCCGCCTGCTAAGATTGAGGCCTTTTCAACAAGCCGGGTAACTTTACGGCAAGTTGACAGAAAATCGCAGTGAAATCGAGGTTTGTTGGCTGGTGTTCAATTAAAATGAGATCTTAGACCAAAAATTCAATAACCACACAATTAGGAACTGTTTCTAACGAATTTTTATTCCCTGGGAAAAAAAAACATTCTTTGCAAATTTGAGGGGGAAAAAAGCAATTGAAACACTTAGAACTCGTTATCTAAATCTCCCCATACAACCAAAAGCTAAAGAAACTCACTTTAAAATTTTAAATGCAATTTACCCCTCGAAAGAACTACAAAGAAATCGTTTTAACATTGTTTACAATAAACGCTCATTCTGTGAAAGTGATAAATAATCAATAGACCATGTCTTCTATGAATGCAGTCAAACCAAAACATTTAGGAATTGCTCAGAAACAAGGATCACATCAAAAATTGCTCTTTATGAATCTATTTCTATAGATATAACTTTTGGAATATTATTGAAAAGCAAAACAATAGAACTCTTTTGTAACCTAATTTTGTGTTTAGCAAAATTCTTTCTTCATAAACAAAGATTGTTGATATAATCCCCAATCTTTAAAGTAAAAAAAAAAAAAATCTAAATTCATGTTATATTTGAAATCTCTTAAATGTATCGAATTATACTAATACCGGACTGAAATACTGATGAGTTTGCCCACTGATGTTCATTAATCCTAACAGGAATCCCCTTGTTGCCATTGTAATAATTATTTCATTATTATCAGCCATTTTCTTTTTTTGTTTCTTATCTATAATGCCTTGTACTTCCATTTTTCAAATCTTCCTCTACTATGCCTTCCACTGTTGCAATTGCCTAACTTGTTTTTTGTTTAAATAAAGTTAGTTAAAAAAAGAGATCTTAATAATCGTCTGCTTCTGATTTCTAAACCCGCATAAAAATCCTAATGATTGTTTTAAAACAGCATATTAAACAATTCCTGTTAAATTAACTTTGCATCCTGTGACAAATCATCATTGCTTTCCAGTAAACTATGGGAATGTTTCCCTTAAATTTGGAGCACATACCGTAAAGCAATATTCAGCAGACGGGGGTCAGCAGCAGGCCTGTACAAAAGGCTTTGTTCTCTCTGGCCCAAAACCTATACACATAATCCACTCCATTGAAAACTGGCCTGTTAGTGCCTCACTAAAATCACTGCTTCGGTTTATTCTTTGAAGACCTTGGTTGTTCTAAAGAGTGTCTGTCATTTTCTGGGAAAGCTAATATATATTTTTCTTAAAAGGACCAGGAAGAGCATGAAACCACTGGAGAAACTGCAGAGGACTCCAACCATGATCCCCACTTTGAGCCCATCGTCTCTCTTCCTGAGCAGGATGTGAAAACATTAGAAGAGGATGAAGAAGTGCTCTTTAAAATGCAAGTTGTTTTTTTGGTTTTTTTTGTGGTCATATTTTAATTGCTTGATGTAGTTTTGCTAGAAAAAGTTACAATTCAGTCTTTTAAGTTTGTGATGGGATATAAAGAATCCATTTTTAATTTAGTATAAGTTGGATAATTGTTTTTAAACGCCCCTAAAAACAGTGAAATGGCTCCTTAAGCCAGGGCAAGCTCAATCACAATATAATTCAACATATATATCAATAAATTGGTATGTTTGTAATGAAGTGCTATTGTGTATCCAGGCGGGCCAAACTGTATCGTTTTGCATCAGAGAACGATCCTCCAGAATGGAAGGAGAGGGGCACTGGTGACGTGAAGCTCCTGAAACACAAAGAAAAAGGTTCCATCCGCCTCCTGATGAGGAGAGACCGAACTTTGAAGATTTGTGCCAATCATCAGAGTGAGTCGGCTTGGAAAACGTTCTAACTATACTGAGATTTTAAAAAAGCTTTTCTTCCTCCTCCTGTTTTAACAGCTTTAAGTACTTTTCTTGTAAAATACAAGAGTTGCTTCTTTTTTTTAAGCTATAAGCAGTATAGGTTCATGCTGCTCTGATCCTTCCTTGCAACATTGATGCAAAAACAATTTATTTCATTACTTGCAGTAAAAGAAAAATATAGTTTTAAAGCATTTTCTGATAAATCCCACCAGCAGCCATGCTGTATTTAAAAACATATTAATGGTTACATACAAAGCAATGGAAGATGATGTCATATATGTAAAGGAGTCTGAGATTTTTCTTTAAGGTGTTTCTGATGGAATGTAGCGTACAGCGCTCTCGTATAGTTAAGTGCAGACGTTTTTGTTAATTTCTTCCTTGCTAACATCTGACCTTCTTTTTAAACGGCAGTCAGTCCCCTGATGGAGCTGAAGCCCAACGCTGGCAGTGACAGAGCGTGGGTGTGGAACACACTAGCAGATTACGCCGACGAATGTCCCAAACCAGAACTACTGGCAATACGCTTTCTAAATGCAGAAAGTGAGCATTATTCACACCTATAATCCAATATTACATCAGAAGATGCCCTTTCCTGTTTATTCGACCTAATAACCACTGTTGTTCTTTCTCTACAGATGCTCAGAAGTTTAAGGTGAAGTTTGATGAATGCAAAGAGGAGGTCAAAAAACAAGTAGAGGGATCAGGTACGTTATATATTCTTATTAATGTTTTATTATATTGCCATACTATTTATTAACTTTCTGTACAGAGTAAAGTCAGGGCCCCGGTTTGCTGGATAAGTTTTAGTTTAATTTATTTGGATATAATGAGTAATGATGATGCAGACACACTCTGTTCTTTGCTGCTTACTCCAGCCTGGGACTTTTTCTGTCTGCTAAATAAACACGCAGGATGTAACACTGCTAGCTTTCCATAAAGCCAGCGGTGGTCACTTTTTCTGCTACATTTTAGCTTCTTTTAAGTGTATTTGTGCTCAGTTTGGTTTTTAGTGTTTTTCAAGAGGAAGCACATTTGAGATGCTGAACAGGCAGCAGCTCTGATATATAGATGCTCACGTCTAATGATGGTTTGTCGTTTTGCCACAGGCGACACTGACAGTGCAAACAAGGTGGCAGAGAAGCTGGAGGAGCTCTCGGTAAAAGAGAAGTCATCAGAGGGAAAGAAGGAAGAGGACAAAAAGGAGACCGAGAAGAATGAGGATGAGAAGAAGGAGGTGAAAGCTGCAGAGAAGAATTAAGAATCTATTCTTTGCTGATCTTCAGTTTTTGTTTTTTCAGTTTTTCCTCTTTTTCTACAATAGACTATATTGAACTGAATTTGGACTCTGACATATTAGGTTTTTTTGTTTTAATCTGTTTTGCCTCAAGATCACAAGTCCTTGAAGCCACTGGAGAAAATATCAGACGCAAAGTTTCTAAAAGCCCCTTTCCCACTTTTCTCAGCGGAAGCCCGTAACTTTCCATCCTTACTTGGAAGAGGTCAACATTTCTATTGACTAACTGTGAAAGGAGGCTTGTGGTAGCGATCATTCCCACATTGGGGTGTTTTTTGTTGTTGTTTTTTCGTTTTATGATGAAGCAGAGTATTTGTGGGGGGGGAGAACATAATGTAGCCTGCTGATCAGCAGCACCAGGTCAGAAACAAGACATCAGGGCGGTGCCTGAGATTCCTGTCCACACTTCCTCTATTTGATCACAAGGTGAAGGCTTCTCTTTGAAGTGATTATCTCTCTGGGTTCCTCCTTTTAGTTTAGCTGTTGGCTGACTTGGAAGAGGAGGAAATCCCTCTGGACAGTTTTGGAGCATCAGACGAGTCACGATCAGGGTGTCCATTTATGGGTTAATGGCGGATAACATGCACTCAGTTAAGATTCTCATCTTTGCCTTTTATTTAGCGTTTAAAATGAAGTCCAAAGCAAAAACGGTTCATGAATTTGTGCGGCTTGTTTTTCCTCACTCTTGTTTTTGATCAGGAGATTAAAGTTTGTATGTTTTAGTTCATAACATTCCCAGACTTTGAAGCATTTAATGTGTACGTAACAGAGCGCTCCCATCAGGTCTGTGTGCTCACCGCTCTCTTTCCACCCGATAAGTCCCCAACCTGGACTCCAGCGCATCCAAGAGCCAGTGCATCTGTAAATACATGTATATGGATGAAATGCTGCTCTTTGCTTGCACTCGGATCAGAAATGTTTCCTCCAACTTCAAATAAAAGCTGGTAAAGATCACACCTTTGTATCCATGTATAATCTGCATCTCAGTAAATCAAACTTTCTGGAAAATTAAAACAATTTCACTGAGTTTGTTTACATTCTTTACATACAAAAAGAGCAATGTTTGAAGCGTCAGTTTTTGATGATCATCACTAGAGGGTATCTGATCAAATGAAACCTTTATGAAACCTTTAAATTTTCACTTTCATTGCAGCCTTTTGCTAAAATAATAAATGTTTTATTTCTTAATGTTCACTCAGCACCCCATCTTGACAGAAAAAAATAGAAAAACTGAAGTATTCAGACCCTTTGCTCAGTATAAAGTAGAAGAATCCTTTTGAGCTTGTACAGCCATCAGTCTTCTTGGGAATGAAGTTTCCACCTGGATTCAGGGATCCTCTGCCATTCTTCCTTGCAGATCTTCTCCGTTCCGTCGGGTTGGATGGTGAGCGTTGGTGGACGGCCATTTTCACGTCTCTAGAGATCATCAATTGGGTTTAGTTCAGGGCTCTGGCTGGGCCAGTCAAGAAGGGTCACATTTTTGTTCCCAAGCCCCTCCTTTATTTTAGCTGTGTGCTTGGGGTCGTTATCTTGCTGGAAGGTGAACCTTCGGCCCAGCCTGATGTCCTGAGTGCACTCTGTACTTGGCTGCATTCAACTTTTCTTCAGTTGCAACCAGTCATACTGTAGCTATATAACACCCCCGTAGCATGATGCTGCCACCACCATGTTTCACTGTTGGGAAGGTGATAAGGAGTGTCTGGATTTCACACATACCACTTAGAATTAAGGCCAAAAAGTTAAATCTTTGTCTCATCAGACCAGATAATCTTCTTTCTTGTAGTCTGGGAGTCCTTAATGTGTTTTATGGCTTATTATGCAGGCTTTCATAGCCTGAGGAGAGGTTTCCATCAAGCCACTCTGCCATAAAACCCAGACTGGTGCAGGGCTGCAGTGAAAGTTGACTTTGTAGAGCTTTCTCCGATCTCCCTACTGCATCTCTGTAGCTCACAGTTATCTTTGGGTTCCTCTTTACCTTACTCACCAAGGCTCTTCTGGACGGCCAGGTCTAGAAAGTGTTCTGGTCATTCCAAAATTCTCCTATTTAAGGCTCATGGAGGCCACTGTGCTCTTAGGAACATTGAGTGCTACAGAAATTCTTTTGTAACTTTGGCCAGATCTGTGCCTCTGAGCTCCTTGGGCAGTTCCTTCCACCTCATTCTTGTTTGCTGACATGCAACGTGAGCTTTAAGGTCTTGTATAGACAGGTGTGTGCCTTTACTAATTAAATCCAATAAGTTTAAACAGTTTGAATCCAATGAAGAAGAAATGGCCAACATGTGTCACAGCAAAGGGTCTATTTACTTATGACCATTTGACTTTTTCTTTTAAATAAATTTGGAGCAATAATGAATAAAATTAACTTTATTGATTTTAGCAAATAGCTGTAATGAAACAAAGAGTATAATATTTAAAGGGGTCTGAATACTTCCTTACCCCACTGTATACAGAAAAGTCCAGGGGTCTCCATGGATTCAGTGCAAGTTGGACGTCATCAGCCTGAGGCTCCTAAGTAATACCATTCATCTCCATCGTCTGTTCTGAAGTTTTTTTTTTTTTAATCGGCCTAAAGCTTCAACTGTTTGACTCAATTGCACTCATACTATGGTCATTATCCAAAATCACCAAAAATAATTTTTAATACCTGGAAAAAGCATTAATTAAATCAGATGCTGTTTTTTTTAACCCTTGGGTGGATCTAGTCCATATGAAACTTTTAATGGACAGTAGCCTTATCGCTGCAGCAAAAGGCTGCTAATTTGGACGCACCGCATACATCCTGCAGACGGGTTAAAACATAACAGTCATTTTGGACCTGCTGAAATGTTAAATGGCGTCTCCATAACGAGGCGTAGCAGCAGATAAAATGGCTCACATCTCTCCAGCAACAAGCCGGACTTAAAAACGAAATCTAAAATTTACTTTCATGGTACGACGTTTGTCTGGTGGCTTCCTCCATTTATCCCCCATTTGATTTCCAAACCTTCTTTACAGGCGGATAAGGGTTGATGATGTCATCATTAGAAAGAATGAATTCAGTTCAGAGTTGGATGTTTTATTCTTTCAGGTCCTTCAATATTTTGTCATCAAAGACCAAAAAAAAAAAAAACAGGGACACATATACAGCTATAGTGTATTCTCCATTATACATGCATGTTCAGCATGAGGCTGACTGTCAGCAGGGGGCCCTGCAGTGATATCCATCCTAGGAAAGGAAGATGGGAGTAGTGGCAGTCATTTGAAGGTGAAATGATGGCTTTTTGCATTTGGAGTAAAGTGAAATTAAAAACTATTAAGTTGTATTGGTTCATCTAACCATCAGCTTTGCCTAAAATAGCCCTGTTAACCAAAGCCTAAATACGTTTTTGTTAAGGCAGCTGAGTGAGTAAAGAAACCAGGTTAAACCTCAGTAAACGACCACCACAGCTTCTGGGTTTTATTCTTTGTCATTTATAGAAATTTGAGTTTATCAGACTGAAGGAAAAAGGATCACAAAGAATAAAAACAAACTCCAGAGTGTCTTTCTTCTCCATCCGAATCACAGATAGCATTTCAGTTGGTTTCTCTGCTAAAAAGGCAACGGTGGCTTTTTTTAAATAACGCAGATAAATCTAACATGTAGCTTGTATCAATTCCTGCCTTTTATTTTCTTTTCAATCTATTTTTCACACTTTAACATAAAAAGAAATGTCACCACGCTGTACCAGACAGCCGCTGCTAATAGTCTGATTTCCTCCCCTCTCCTTAAACAGAAGTCACATATTTGCTGTTTTTTTTTTTTTTTGTTGTGAAGTATGGCCACATTAGTTGAACACAACTCCAGGCAGTGGTAATGAAATGCACATTCTCTGATGTTTGACCATTAGGACCACGCTAGTCATGTGACTTTAACATTATTTTCCACAACACAAATCTAACAGTTAAGAGTTATCATACACTTATTCTTGCACAGCAATGTAAAACAAGCAATATTTAAAATGTAATTATCAATGATCTAATCGGATCACTTGGTGAATTCATCAGGATTTTATATTTACAGACATTTAACCGCACCTCTGCTATAGATGTTCAAAAAAAACAAATTAAAAGCTTTTGCTGCTGCAAGTCCTTGAGAACACGCTTTCAGCAGAGATAAGTTGTTTTTAACAAAATCACTTGTGATGGAAGCCGTGTATTTTTAATTTTACCCAAAGAGCAAGATTTTAGTCTTCTAAAACATTTTGAGATATAAAACCAGCCAATTTTCTTATAAATTCAATTTGCTTAGCATTGTAGAGCTTCAACAAGCTTCATAGGCCCACAGCATCACAGATCCTCCACCATCCTTAAACCCATTCATTAAAATGATTGTAAGGGATGTGATTATGTTAAAAAAAATATTTTAAATTAAAAAAAAAAGGATCCAAACTGAATTAATGTATTTTATTTAACGACTGAATTAATCAGAAAAAAAGTGTCCACTGCTTTTGTTTTAAGGTCTTTTTAAGCATATATAGCAGGGGTAGCTCGATGATTGGGGCTGGCGCTGAACGGTCCAGAATAAACAGCTTTTTTAAGACTATACTTTAATCCAGTCCAAAATGTATGCATGTATAAAAATATGTATCAAACATTTTCTTTTTAAATAATTCTGGACCTAAAAAAAATACATTATGAAAAAATAGTGACCGGTTATCTTTGTTAATCTTTCCTATGATTAGTACGGAAGTGGATTAGGGCCACTGAAAAAGAAAAAAAATGTAACTGATTTTTAAATTTTATTTCAGTATAATATGAGAATCAGTAAAATTCTGAGATTAAAGTCAGAAGTCTGATTTTTATGTCATATTATACTGAAATAAAGTTTTTTCAGTGGCCCTAATCCTCTTCTGTAGATTAAAGGAGACATTTATATACTTTTATTTCCTTTTTTTTTTTTATGAAACTTGATTCTGGGTTTTTTCTGTGCAAGTCTGGACTCATCTGGAGTCTGAGAGAGACATTGTGATGAGGTATCCTGCACTTATAGAAGACAAACAGAACAGACCAGCTCTTGCTTTGTAGGTCAGGTGGAAACCACGTCTTTAAACTCCACCCCGGCCTACGGTAAAGGTTAAAAGAAAGGAAGGCGAGAACAAGGTTTAAGCCCTAAATCATCTAGAAAAAAAACCAAAACACATTCATTAGACGTGAATTCATGTCAACTAGCATGTTCAGCTGGTTGCATTCATTCCTGAGAAAAATACTTTTGAACACAAAGTTAGCTTTCCTTGTTTTTAACCTAAAACAACTGAATTTGGAATGCGACAGTCAGACTAGACGAGGATTCCTTCACCTTCTCTTCCCACTCCGGTTGGGTTTTCTACTCTCCCCTCAAAGCCACAGAAAACATTCATCACACCCCGAAAAACCCCCACTGCCAACAGTAAAGGAGGACAAAAAGTGAAGCACCATGAGTTCTTTATCCCAGATGTTCACGATGAAGACGTCCCAGCAGTATCACGCCAGTCCAACCGAGACAATGAGTTAGAACTGATGACCAAAGCCTTCACACAGCATTTCTTTTTCTCTTTTGGTTTTCTCTCCTTCTCTATCAGCACGGATTCATCCTGAATTGTTTTTGGCAGCCTCACGCGATGTTCTCCTCTGACTGGACGATTAAAACACACTAACAACCCCTTGATTGGACAAAAGTGAGGTTTCACCGCAGGAGAGCGGCGTCGGTAAAAGCTGAAGGGTTTGTCCTTGTCGCTCAAACGGATATTTCGTACGTGGTGCCTCCAACTCCTGTCACCTTTTTGACGTTACCGTGCCGACCAGGACTCAGGTGGCAGTCCATCTGCCCGTTAGCTTTCATGGCCTCTCTGAGTGGAAAGAGGAAAAAAAAAACTAAACAAAACAAAAAAACAATTCAACAACAAAATCAATTTAAAAAAAGCTCTGGAATACTGAGATATGCAGATGATCTGTTTAGACCTCAGAGAATATGCTGGTGAAGCTTCTCAGTCATCCAAGTCATCCGCTGGACTTTGTTTCCAAGTTTGAAGACATTTCGTTTTTTTTTAAGGACCAGAATGTTCCCATTTCTTTCAAAAACCTAAAATGCAGCAATTGAGTTGATCCCTTCCCGCTATCGTCGTAACCCCCAACCCAGTACAGGAGAGCAGAAGACCTCGCCTATTCATCCAGACTGACAATTCCCTTTAAAAACACCCCTTTCAGAGACATAGGCAGGTATTGGGCATTACAGGCTAACAAAAGACACCAAACGACCTCCATTCCAAAGGGCTGGACCCTTTAGTCTGTTTAAAGTTCCTTGTTTTCATAAAAGAAACTAGGTTTTGTTGGGCTACTGTATCAAAACCCCAACTCAACGCTTTCCCTGACATTTTGATTTGAAAAAGCTTCCTGGATGGGAAGCGAAACGTCTTCAAACTTGGAAACAAAGTCCAGTGGATTGTGTTTTTTTTTTTTTACTTTTTTTGGAATGACCTCAGAGATTGAAATTGAACAGCAGCAATGGAGAGTTTATTTCAGCGGGTGTTTGTTAGTGGAGAGAAGAGGAGATGGAGGACAAGTAAGTGAATCGCATGCATGTGAGAAAGAAACGGGGAGTCGTATCTTTTTTATTAAACAGACTGATACCAAACAAAAAAGGTGCTTTCTTTTCCTAGAAGGCAATCATACAACATTAAACAAGAAAACATGTGCAAAGTTCAAACCAACAGAACGAATGGATAAATGGAGAGAACAAAACACCATGAACCAGACCTCGGTTAGGTTGAACACAGAGATGAAAAACTGCAGATTGTATGTAGAGTCCAACAGTTCGCATCGGGTTGCTACAAAGCATGCATCCCCAAGGGAGGGGCAGAATGTCAGGGGTCATACCTCTGGCCCCCGAGACGAGGGGAGCCTGTCCTCTCGTGAGCACTGATGTAGGAGAGTTTCTGGTGGGAGTAGGAGGGGGATCGGGGCATTGCTGGGGAGTGGGGGTTATGGGCGGGGGAGCGATAGGAGCCCTCGTGGCCGGGGGCCCTGCCCTGGCTGCTGTTAGAGCTACTGTGATCTGTGTGTAAAGAGGTGGATGAAGTCCTGGGGGCCCGGCCAAGAGTGGAACCAGCGTGGCGCAACACAGGGGTTCTTTGGCCGTAGTTCACCATCCCAACGCCCATCAGGTTCTCCCTGGAGCCTCCGTAAGCCGGGGGTGTTGGGCCTCTAGATCCGGGCCCGCGAGGTCCATCGCAGTAGCCGGTGTTTGCAGGCAGGCCATAACCTGCATCGAACACACCAGAATCCTGGGCATACAAATGGGTCTGGGAGCGTCCGCGCAGCATCTGCCGCTTCTCCCTCTCTTCCATCTCTTTCCTTTCCTGGATGGAAGCCATGATGGTCTGGGAGAGGTTATCGTAGCGCACAGGAGACGGCTCCCTGTCCCTCAGGTGGGGGGATTGTCTGCCTATCCCTCTGGGCGGCATCACTGGACTGTAAGTTTGAGCAACCTGTTGTCTGTGGATCTCAGACTCCCGGATGTGGCACATTTTGGTGGGCAGGTAAGGTGAATGGAATCCCACAGACGGCATCCCACGGTGGGCCATGCATTCGCCGGCGCTGGCTGGAGAGATGCTGGGGTTGAGCAAGCTGTCGTAGGACAGACTGCCATTGCGGTTAGAGAGGGTGTGTGGTGAGAAAACGCCCTTGTAAGGCGTGGAAACAACCGTCTGGGGTGGCAGCGCCTGCAGCTGGCCCTTTTCCAGCCGACGGTGACCTTGCTTCAGGCTGAGCGTGCGAGAGTTGACAGGATCCGAGTCTAGCTGGTGAGGCGAGGACTGGAAAGTGCGGTGGAGCGGAGCGTTGGCGTACTCTGGCAGATCGAGGTTCGGCTCAGATCGGTAGTCATGACCTCGTACTCCTTCCTCTAAGATGGCTGAATTCTTTCGGTCATCTGGCATGATGATCTGTAGAGTAAAATTGGTGATAAAACCATTAGTAAAGTATTGAGATGGTAGTTTATATAATATTATCCATTTATACTCACCTTGTCTTCAGCGGTGTGGTAGTGGACTTTCGGCATGGTGCCAAAAGATGGCCTGAATCTGTACATAGCTGGAGTAGAAGGGTGGGTCTTTCCAGACAATGAACTTTCTAAATGAGTAAAACCAAAAAGTCTTTGTGAACTTTTATCCTCTAATATCGCACAAAAAAAAACAAAAAACAAAAACAACAAAACCGCAAAAGGTAAAAGAAAAAAAGTGTATTCAAATGGTGGACAAATGGTTGATAGTAATACTGGTGTACCTCAGGGTTTTACACTGGGAGCTACCTTGTTTTTCTAAAAATATATCCTGCAAGTTTTTTATTTTATGGTACTTATAGAATATATATTCAGAATGTAGAGCAATGAGGTATAGATTAATGGTCAATCAGAATGCAGATCTGTAGCTCATTCTTGACACTAACTGGTGAAAAATCGGATGTTTGAGCAGCAGGGAAAAGACAACAGCTTACAGGATTATTAATATTCCACTAGATGTACAATTTATTTATAAAACAAATTTAAAATAAGTCACACATGCATGAAGTGTATTTTTTTGTATCTTAAGCACAGAAGGAACCGTACAGCAACAGAGGCCTCAAAAATGATGATCAGTCAAATAGGAGTTATTGTCTGAACAGTTAGACACAAACAGGAATCTGTGTTCCATATTAATACAGAGGTAAGAGAAAAAAGTCAAAAATATACAAGGAAGAATTTTAACTGAAGAAAGGAAAAATGTTTTTTTAAGTTATCTTATTATTAGTATTCTTTTTTTTCTTCCAATTAGCAAAATCCAAACTTGTCCACAGTAGCTGAAGCTAGCAGGATCCCACACAGGAGCACATCCCTGCACACCAACTATTCAAAGGTTTCTACTGATTATTTTGCCCTTCATTGCATTAAACATCTATTCTTTTATCTTGTTTCACACCTTCGAACTGCCAGACTACAAATAGATGTAAAGTCGTAGGGAAGCGGCTGTTCCAAACGTTGCATTTCCGAATTCTCCCGAGTGGTGCACGACTTTACACGCATGAATAAAGTGAATGTGATTGGTCATTTATCAAGGGAGAGGGATTGTTGTGACTGAAAAGATTTGATTGACAGATGACATATATATGATATGACATATATATTGATATATTATTGGCCGAATTTAGGTGTACAAGCTGATGTATAACTTACTGGCCTGCATAAAGTAACGAGAAAAAAAAAATTTAAATAGAAATTTTCTAACTTTTGGGACAGTATCTTCTGTTAAAGAGTACATTTATATACATGTTTAAGCCAGAATGATTTGACATTTAAATACGACTTCCCTATGACTTTAAATGTGTTAGCAAAGTGAGTTATCTCTTTGGAACAACTGCAGCACCTTAAATCATCACTAGGTGGCAGTGGTGCTCTTTAACCAATCAGAAAGCCTTCCCTCCCTGGCATAATGCAGCATAACTTTGGTTTATCTGGGAGTAAATAAAACTCACCCTGATTTATGCATTGCTGTCACCTCATACTTGGAAGTGAAACTACATTTTTAAAGCAATGATTCTTTCAACTGTCCATGAAAAAAATGCCAAATTATATTTTTTCTTCTTTTTTTTTTTTTTTTTTCTAAATCTGATGCTGAATCATTGTCCAGAGCTTGTTTCCTCACCACAAATGAAAGCTAAAAAATGAGGGAACTTTTAATCTACAGATGCAAAGTTTTTGGAAAAGAAGATCAGGAGTACCTCTGAGGTTCGTACCTTCGCTGGAGGTCAGCTGGCCTTTCAGCTGGTTGTACCTATCAGCTTTGGGAGGCAGGGGCGGCTGGGTTTCTCTGCCGTCCAGGCCGTCAATGCTGCTTTTCGACTGCAAGGAGGAGAGGGAGCGTTAAAGGCGTCCAGAACATGGAGGAGGGAGGGGAGCTGGTACATTTAACAGAGACCATCTGTTGTCACAAAGGATGCGACTCCCACTGAAAACTGCATGAAACAAGAGCTCAATTGATCGGAATAAATGCATTATTTTCTAATCAGAGGTTCATGAAAGACACAAACGTTTCACGGTTTTTCTGAATCTTACACAAACATTGTACTAACGAATCTTAATGCAAGTGCAAACTGTTAGTCAGGTGTGGGATTCAGTGCTGCTTTGCATCTAGCAGCTAATGGAGGATTAGGCTGTTTGCCAGACAGAGATAAGGAAGCTGTGGAAATCTAGTGTCAGCCTGTTAGTTAGCAGTTTGGCATTTTGGCCGTTTTCACTACCAGTGAACAGGTGTTTAAAATCAGCCCAACTCCCGAGCTAAACAAAAAGGAGTTTCTGCTCTGTACGCTGCCTCGATAAGGTGTCATTCCTTCTTTATTCTATTAATTTTTTTATACTGTGATGTATTTCTTTGGGATTTTATGGGATAGTCCATGTTTTAGGATAGATTTGAAGGTTTTAGTGATAATAATTTGCTGCAAAATAGCTTAAGCTGAGTCAGACTAGATGCAGAGCATCATACAGTTGCTGAGGAAATACAATTCCAAAGCATGATGCTGCCACTGCCATGCTTCCTGTTAGAGAGGATTTTTTTTTAACGTGATATAATCCTCCTCAAATATCCTTTTACAAATATCTGAAAAGTTCTCATTTGGCTTTAGTTCTAGTTTTTTTTTTTTTTTTGGCAAACTGAACACAATAGATCAACAAACAATTGATAGTGGACACAAAAAAATGTTTTCTTGTCAACAGCTTTTCCATTGAGCGGTAGATTTATGCAGCTCTTCTTTTTTTCAGGTTGTAGATAAGAATTTAAAATACTCAGAAATTTGTGGATGTATTTTTAATTTAAAAAACATTTTGGTGCAAATAATTACTGAAGGGCCTGTAGGTTAAAATAAAACTCAGTTGGAACAAAGAAGCTTCCCCATAAAGAAATAAAGAGGAAAAGCATTCTAACCCCTCTGGAGAAATCAAAGACATAAACGGCAGTTTTTAAAGCAGCAAACAACGTGGTGCATAATCGCCGCCGATCAGTGAGGAGTGGTNAAGCATGATGCTGCCACTGCCATGCTTCCTGTTAGAGAGGATTTTTTTTTAACGTGATATAATCCTCCTCAAATATCCTTTTACAAATATCTGAAAAGTTCTCATTTGGCTTTAGTTCTAGTTTTTTTTTTTTTTTTGGCAAACTGAACACAATAGATCAACAAACAATTGATAGTGGACACAAAAAAATGTTTTCTTGTCAACAGCTTTTCCATTGAGCGGTAGATTTATGCAGCTCTTCTTTTTTTCAGGTTGTAGATAAGAATTTAAAATACTCAGAAATTTGTGGATGTATTTTTAATTTAAAAAACATTTTGGTGCAAATAATTACTGAAGGGCCTGTAGGTTAAAATAAAACTCAGTTGGAACAAAGAAGCTTCCCCATAAAGAAATAAAGAGGAAAAGCATTCATTTCAAATAGACTTTTTATTTTTTTTCCTTAAAACAAAACTGCTTATAATGAAATTATTTATTGGATCATGTTTTCATTTAAAGGGATCCTTTAATTGGTTCTTTATGCATCAGTAAAACAGTCATTTTTAGCCTTTTTTAGTTTAATCAAACGCTGCATCCGGTACAACCTTTCCAGGTATTAAATTCTAAGATTCCAGGTCTTACAATACGGATCCTTTGGTCAATAATTTAATAACATCCTAACCCTATATATGGCCAGAGGTGTATAAAGTACTCATTAAAAAGAAAAAAGAAAACTAAAAGTAAAAATACCTGAACAGAAAACAGAAAATGACTTTGGTAAAAGCAAAAGTCACAGATGAGAAAAGTACCTCAGGAAATGTCAGAAAATTGTTCACAATGTTTGAAGGAGGAAAAGATAAAAGCGTTTTGTACATAAAAAGTAAAAAACCTTGGAAGGATTTGCTGATGCAAATCTGGCAGGCTTCTGCTTTGACCATTTTTTTATCTCTTATCTCTTCTCCTCGGCTTTTTACACTGAAAAGGATGCTGGTGTTTGTTGATTTTATTCCAGTCTGTCTCCATTTATTCTCTAATATATTTTCTAAGTAATATATCACTGAATTTAATGGTGTCACTGAATTTAATGGTTTTATATTTGTGTTTTTTGTACATCGCTTTGTTTTCTGTGTTTAAAGTGCTTTATAAATAAAGTTCAACCAAAATGAATTTGAAAAAAAAGCAAGGTAAACTCTTTTCTGTTGGTCTTTTTACTTTGAATTAAAACACTGGAAGTAGAAGTAATTAAAAGCTGCTTTAACCATAAGAAAACATAGAAGTTAGACTGTACAGTTAGAATAACAAAAACATCCTGCAGCATGACATGCATCCATAACAGTGTCTGGGAAAACTAATGCAAGAAGACAATGAAATCCATCCACTCTGTCGTATAGAAAATGAAAGAGTGTTGTGTCAACATTACTTAGAGGCAAAACAAAAGAAGTTTCACTACACTTTACCACCTTTAATGCACAATGGTTTAGCAGTTACTTGGATTTATCCCGAGCTATCTCTATAGTTATGCTGTTATAGGCTTACACTGCTGGAGGACATAGGGACCCCTATTTCATCATTGTGCTTCATTCGATCTCTATTCTCCCACTCTGCAGAATCTCTAACATCCTGCTCTCTGCTTCTTCTCATAGTAGCTTGGCCTAGTCTGTTCCTGCCACCATCCTGGAGAGAAATATCAGCTGTGCTGCTGCCATCAACACCTTTGTTTATAGATGTTGGAGATTGGCCTGTTTTTCAGTGTAGTCCTGTTTCTCTGACTGTGACTGGCTGGATGTGCTCTCTTCATCCTCTGACATGGGAGTCTGCTCTGAGCTCGACTGCCTGGCTGTCTCCTGGACGGGGCCGC